TTCCCTTGTGTTTTTTTTTTTTCATTTTATTGGTGGAAAAAAAATCAGGAGAAAAGTTGAGTGTTTTCGTAGGTAGATCCCAATAGGCACATACTGGGGTATTTGTGCACCCACAGCCCTCTTCCCCTCACACGCTTGAGTCACATGCATGCCACACATATCTGCCAATTACACGAGTGCACACATTCATCAGCGCTCCTACCATGAGAAGTACAGGATTTTCAGGGACATCAAACCTGGACACAGCCATGACGTTCCCCTGGAAGACGGTACCTTCCGCTCCACGATGGTAAGAACTTCTGCAGTGCCGCAACAGGGACCTCAATGTGTGTTCTTACTAAGCTCACCTGGTGTTTGAGACAGGCAGGCTGGAGCACGTGTTGCTGGGACACTGTCAGCAGGAAGAGTGTGATGCTCGTGTGTGTGTGTGTGTGCATGCACACACACGCATGGGAGAGCCAAGCATTCTCTGCAACTACAATGTAACAATGGCTAACAATGTAACAATGGCTAACAATGTAACAATGCCTACTTCCCAGGAAGTGGAAACGGCCTTCAGATGACCTAAGACAGATTGTCAGGGTGTTGAGTGGGGAAACTGGGCTTGAGATAGGGCTACAAAGTCATTGAATATCTGTGATATTTTACCTAATTTTTTTTTTTACCATGTAGAAGGTTTCACTGTTTAAAAGAAGGACATTCTACGTGGAATGAGGCGATGGTTAGTTCTTAGGCAAGGGGCAGGGAAAAGTCACAACCTGTTCATGCATAGAGCCTTGCATCACATTTGGACTTCCTTTGGGTGTATTGTCTTAGCTGTGTCCACACTCCAGATACACGGGAGCAGGAGAGACATTTGCATCCAGTGGTTGATGAATCCATCACTGTAATTTCTTGTACATTTCAGATAAAATTTATATGACTTTTCAGAGAACATGCTTGTGGAGCTTCTACTGTAATTACCATTATTATCATCGCATCCTCAACTTATGGGGAAGGGGCTCATTTATAAGCAAATCTTTGAGACAACTATTTCACTCTCACCACCTATGAGCTTGTGTTTTAATTAATACTCGACTCATTTTGTAGGAAAAGCAGTGGAAGCCCAGGGTTAAGACTGCCACTGTTGACCATTACCATCATCTTCAGTAATGACGGAGGAGAATTTTTGGAAGACAAGACAGGTGTTGGGGTCAGAACTTCATGTGGAGTTCTTTGAATAGCTGCTAGCTATTCCTGTGGTAAGTCATATAACCTATCGTGTTGATTGTCTTCATTTACAAAATAGGGATATTTAAGACTAACCTGACATAGGGCAGTAACAGTCAGTTATAACTGTGCAGTCCGATAGAAAAGGGGTTCCCACATGGGGACCAATGGACCTGAAATAATACAGTGCATACTACAAAGACAACAGGGAAGGGCAGCCAGGGTGAGACTCGTCACCTCTGCTGGCTCCAGGGCCAGCTGAGAGCAGGTCACTCGGGTCCCAGGCCGCACGTTGAGAAACCCTCACCTCAGCACCTGCTCATTGTGTGCCTCAGTCGCTTCATCTGTGTCAACAATGGCTCACATGCATGAATTCCATGAAAACCCTATCTGTTCCACATGACGATGGAAAGAAACAGGCACTGTTAGCTTCCTCTACAGATGGGGAGACTGAGGCACGGTGCCGTGGCTGAATCCATCCTGGACTTGAGTGAGCAAGTGCCAGAATCCGAATGTCCATCCGGGATGTTTGCTTCCACACCCCATAGTTTAATCTTTGCACATTATACGGACTTGATAGGACAGCCAAGACAATCGAGTGAGATAAATTAAGATGTTCATATGTAACTAAAATGCAGTGTAGAGCTGAACCCTGGTGGGATTCTTAAATGATTAAATAAGGGACACGAGCCAGAGAAGGATTCTTGGCTCCTAGGAGACATGCTCAGTAACTGCAAACTCTTAACACTTAGAATTTTATCTTTCCCATTCAGAACCCCTAGAAAATCATTAACCCAAACGTACGTTTCACTTGACACAGTTTGTTTTTGTTTGACACCAGTTAATGACATTCCCATGCTGGGGAAGAGCCAAGCTGAGTTTCTTTCGTAAACATCCTTGCTTAGTTTTTGATAACTGGTGTGCCTGCAGGTGGCAACTGGTCTACCGGTGGCCAAGACAGTGTTCAACTCATACGGGCGGCATCCACCTTAGGGCCCCAGGTGGGCTCAAGGTCAGTCACATGCGTGGATGTGGTACCTACCCTCCAAGGAAACCCACAGAAGCAAAAGGACTCAGGACACCAACTCACAAGTACCTTTTCAGACTAAGCTTTTATTTTTTTGATATTACAAACCAGTTTTCTTTATTCACAAACCACTGTAAGTGATATAAACACTAATTTCTAAAGACAGATATACACAGTTTCTGGGTTTGCAGATTGCGTGATGTGTGTGTTAAGAAGTCACTATATGCCACACATGATAGTAATCTTTTTCCATAATTCATAATAGCAATAGTTATTTAGATAAATGAAAACATTCCAAATAAATACTGTTTAAAAAAATCCAAAATGTTTGTTTACATCTCTGACATACATGTTAAGATGACTTGTTGGCATCTTGGCAGAGTGCCTGGACAAAAAGATTCCGCAACATGAGTTGGCACCCACTTGTCTAAGTGATGTTTATTAAAACTACATACAGTCAAGGGGGAAAGTACAGTTCATTGGCGAAAATCAAAACTGCAAATGAATTTTACTTGAACTAACACAGTAAGAATTCTATGTTTGTGATTCCAAGCACAATGCAACTTCTGGATTCTGAAATCTGAGGCCCTGCGGAGAAACCTACTTCTCCTCACTGGCCCCCTGTTCCTACTCTCTCTCTACCCTCCAGTGCAGGGTGCCCTAGCATTTCAATAGCTTTAAGAACATCAACCAGGCACCCGTGGTGGTCATCACGTTATTCTCCAGGCGGGGGAAAGAGAATTGCCCCTTTGGCCCTCCCCTTACCCACCTAAGAAAGTCTGCTGAAAGGAACACCTGATATTCTCTTGGCTGCTCTAAGCCATTTCCCCCCCCTTTCTCTCTTTGCAAGAGAACTAGAGTCTGTCTTAGACATCAAAGCTACAGAAACTTGGTTTTCAAATCTTGTGAAACTTTATTGATGGTTTAATATCCAACTGATCTTACGGCATGCACATAGGATGACAAGAGAAAGCTGGATCACAAACACTTTTTTTTTTTTTTTGAGTTTTGTTTGGTTTTGTTTGAAAGCAGAGCTGTTACAGCGGATTGGCAGGTTCACAGCGGTGAGTGGGTAACTAAGGTGCGTGCCATAGCCCTGCACTGTGCACGTGAGGACGTCACTATGGCAGCAAAACTACTCAGGGACAGCTTGCGGCTGTATTGTATTGAAATACAAAAACAGGAAGACCCGTGACAGATACCCCAACTCAGGTTAACTTGTAAACAGGACAGCATGGAAAGACAAACTGCAATTTTTCGGCCGTGTCACTCTGGCCCTGGACCCGAGGGGGCGGGGGTGGAGGACTTTGTTCTTTGGGAGCACAGAGGCTGGAGCTTTTTTTTTTTTTTTTTTTTTTTTGCTTCCTTCTGACAAGTGTCCTGGGCCTCGGAGATGGACTACAGAGCCAGGTTTGAGAGCAGTCCTAGGGCGTGGGGGAGAGGGGGGAGGGCAGGCTCTCACGGACTGAAAAATTGCAGAGTGCTCACACAACGTGGTCGTGTTTCAAAAAGTACCAAGCTGATGAAAATACCATGATTATCTCTACTCAATGATTGCAATACTTGTAAAATGCTTCTATAAATCCGAATATGATTATCATGTAATTCCATAAAAATTATACGTCTGTCTCTAACAGTTCTACTTGGCTAGAACGAAAGCTTCATAGACTGGATCTAGAACTGAACAACTCCACTGCACAGATGTAAGTTTTATACATTTTTTTTAAACTGGTACAAAGAATTTAAGTTTTTATTACTTTCTTTTTTTGGAAAAAAAGAAAAAAATAGAAACAGTGCTTTTTATCACCTTTTTATTAATGTTATTTTTTCCCTCCCATAATATAAAAGTCAGCAATGATATCAATAATTTATTATACTGGAAGAAATATAAAAAGAATACTTGTTGATGGTCTAACTAGTAGTTGTTGCCTAAATAACTAGCGGCTGGTTAAGAAGCTGAATACTGCCGGGTGGAATGGTTTAGAGGGTGGGTTTGTACAGCTTCGTTCAACTCAGACGCACCAGTGGTACTAGGAGCACCCCCTAAACAACACAACCTTTGGCTTGAACTGGCAATGAGTAACTTAGAACCATTGATAAGTGATCGTTGGTGCAGTGGGTCGTTTAGATTCATCAGTTACTATATATATATATTTTTTTTTTACTTTCAGTCAAACCCCAGTCCCCTAAGCCCCTCCCAGCCTCCCCTTTCACAAAATAAAATAAGCAGATGCAGAAAAAAAAATGACTACTGTAGTCACTTACAATCTTCCCAAACAGCTGATAACCCCGGTAGCTTCATAGTCAGCATATATAATTCATTTACATCATATAGCACTCTGGATATGGCCATTAACCAGTTTCTATTCATATCTATCATCTCTCTAGTGCAACCACAAGAACTCCTACAGCCAGCGACCAAACTACGGAACCTTCAGAAATGAAAGACCCACAATATTAAAATACACAGAACAAAATATCTGAGGTATAAGATAAAAAATGTAATTTTTTTCCTCTTTTTATCTTTATTTTTTTTAGAGTTGCTAAAATGATGCACTACTGCATGTATTGCAATACTCAGGCCTCGGAAAGCTTCCTTTCTCCCAACATTGGAAGGTTTTTATGGTTTTGTCATTTAGTATGGAGCAAAACGGTTGTATCCCCCTCGGTATATACTAGCCTGCAATGAAGAAAGAACGAGACCCACATCATCAGCATGGCTCCTAGTCTTGGCATCAGTCAAGGGTGCAAAAGCATTCTGAAACAAAGCAATTTGAGGGGTGTGTTTTTTACATTTTCCTTTTGCAACACGTGCATCATCAAAAAAGACTAATGTGAAAAATAGACACTCAAAACCAACCGCAATGGAGGCACCCCCTACCCGTCCCCGGCCACTCCTGGAGAACTAAGGCTAGGGCCAGTCCTGACCGCCCCTAAAAGCTCCTGACAAAGAGAAGCCCTGTCCAGCCAAGTTCAGTCAACCTGTCCCGGGAGCGAAAAGGAGGACTCTGCTATACACACAGGACAGCGGGCAGAGTTGCACTGTGTCATTTTGTTTCTTGGATGAACACTATGGTCCCTTAGGGAAAGCTGCATCTACTTTGGGGGTGGAATTTCAACAATCTATCGAAGATAGTCATTCAACTCTCCTTTCCAACGCATTCCTCAGGTGGACGAGGTGTTAGCGAAGAGTTGTTGAAAGCAAAATCATGATGGAAATTTAAATCTACTTCTTGACTCGGCTCAGCAGTCTGTATGGAGCCTGATCCTGAGAGGGGAGGCGTACAGATGAATTGCTGGACGAAATTAAGCTTGTGCAAAAATACGTTTCCAAAACATGGTTGGATTTCTAGGATTAAGTTCCAGTGAATTGTCTGGCCATGGCTTTAAATGGCTAGGAGGTGGCACTTAGCTATTTCCTTTTGTCTAAAAGTACTGGCAATTCAAACGAATGCCTATGGGGATTTGTTTTTACGTTAAGGACTGCTAGTCTTGATCCAAGCAGAAAACTGCATGCCAAAGCTTTGTAATGATTGCATACGCTCTCACGTGATGGGCACGTCTTACTGTACTCAAGAGTTTTAGTGCATAGAAGTTTGAACAAGTACAGGCAAATTCAACCCACCCTGACCTCCCATGTTTTCCCCTCCCCAAAGAAAACCCAGACCCCCTCCCCCAGCCCCGAGAAAACAAGACAACCCAGCTGATGCCTTCTACTGTCTTAGGTACTAGGCACACACACAAAGTGTGCCCCTGTCTATTTTCTTTCCTGGGCGACTATGACTTTAAACATGAATTGTAATAGGGGAGGAGAGGCAGGCAGATGCTCAGCTGCCTGACAGCAGAGGCCTGGAAGTGTGCAGCTTAGCTCCTCTGAAGTCTGTGCTGGGGCTGGAGCCTTGGGGCTATGTGAATGAGCAGCGAGGGAGGGAAAAAAAAGAAAAAAAAAGTTCTGCATTGACACTGCATTCTGTTAGTGATGGATTTAATTATCAAAATGACTAATTATTCCATTAAGGTAAGTGCTCCACTAGGTGAGACTTGCAAAATTAGAAATATAATAACTTACATGCACTACATTGCCAAGAAATTAAGACATTTATCAAGTTTACTGGGAGGATTAATGTGGCATTTTAGCTGCTGTTAGCACAAGAGACAAATTCAATTAAGGGAAAGTGAGAGGACGTCAACCCAAACTGAGGTCCCAGCTGGGGGGTGGGGGAGGGAGGAGGACTCGGTACTCACCATGGCACCAACGCCGTAGGTGGGGGCTGGAGCAAGTGTGTGGTGGTAGGGGTCGGCAGCATAAACTCGTCCGTAACTGAAAGGAAAGTGGAGGTGGAGATTGACCCATGACACGCAGTTACAACGTGATGATAACCCGCACAAAGCAGAAAATACCAAGACGGTGTGGAGGGGCCTATGCCCTACACGTTGTGGAATATTAAAACACTTTACTCCCCCAAGTAACGCGGGCAAAGGCCATCCGTGTAGATGGCCGTCTACTGTCCATATACCAGGGCTGGCTGTACGGACAGGCTAACTACACATACGCAAAAGCAACACCCCCCCCCCCCCATCATACTGTTTGCACGATGCACATGTAGCCACTTTGGGGACTGAGAGGGGGTGGAAGAAGCCCAGCACCCCCAAGAAGCTGTGCCAGTATTCAAGAGCTGCGTTCTCTCCTGACTTAGCCATGCCCAATCAAGCAAGGAGGGACAGAGGAGAGGCAGCAAAGTGAACCTGTCTACACAGTTAGTCCTCAACATCTAGAGTGCGGAACAGCAAATACATCCGAATAGAACCCCTCCGGCAGGGCTCAGGAACCCCAGTCCCACTCTATCCAACAGTCTTTTCATTCTGTTCCCACAGGCCATCTGTCTCGCCCACCTAGGACCAGGTGCTAGAAAGGGAGGCGTCTGAAACAAGGTAGGGTAGTGACCTTTTCCTCGTCTTTCAGTCTTTTCTCTCTATCTCATCTCTCTCCTCTCTCCAGCGACGGCTTCCAGTACAGACTTTGGAATAAATGGGGAGGGGTGGAAAGCAGGTGATCGAACGCTTACGTGTCTGGAACTGGACATGTCCGTCACCACAGGGGTTAGGCTACTTGCCCAAGATCAGCCAGACCGAATCAGAGTGGATCCCTCCATCTCTCAGGGCGACAGTGTCACATGGTACCCTTACTCTAAGGAGTGTCGCTTTGGTACCAGTCACAGCTATGATGCAGCCTTAGGCCCGATGACCTGGGAGCCAAGCTTGCAATGGAGATTGTCGCACAAGGGGTTCACTGAAGGGTGCTCTCAGGAGGAGGGAGCGAGAGAGGTGGGCAGGCAAGAGACAGAACAGAAGCCAGGCTGCGGCCTGTACTGGAGCACAGCCTGCACCTGATCCCATGAGTTGTGCAGCTGGAAGCACGTGGTGGGGGCTTCTGAACGCCATGTAAGGGAAGGAGGAGCTGGGGGCGGTCCTGAGGGCGGGAGCGTTCATCACAGAGAGAAGGTGGCTCCCTCTGGCCGACAGCAATTTCGTGGAGAAGCGAGCAGCCGCCTTCCACTCAGAACCAACACACAGAGAGGCTAGGGAGCAAGCACACGAGCCCCTGATGGACCGCTGGGGTTTCCAGCAGACTGGGGTGCTTTTAAGGACAAAGGCACCAGCTAGGAAAAACGGTTCACTCTGGCCACCTTAAGTTTGCCTCTCATCCCTGCAGGTCCAATGAGCATGCACTTGATCCCTCTTTTTCTCTATAATTTCTGCCTATTTCCTCTGCCATATTTTTCTGTCTTACTGTGTTGACAGATCCTGGGGGAGCGTCTAGAAGGGTGAGTGAAGAGAGCAAAGGACTGCCTAATGCTAAGAAGCCCAGAGATGGCGGGAACACACACATCCTGCCCAGAGCCCACTGGGAACAGCCTCTCCCTGCCTCCCCTTGCCTGTTGCAAAGGGCTCTGACTCTGAGAAGCAATGGCGTGAAGCAATGCTGCTGAGGTGGCTCTCAGCGACACCAGCAGGCAGCTCTGCCTCGCGTTCCACTCCTCGCAGACCCCTCCCATCCTGAAGCCCATCAGAAATGGCTCTTGCTCAAAGATAGATCTTCCCCTTCTGGGGAGAGAGAGACGGGAGGCCGAGAGAGAGGGGCCGTGGTTAAGATGAGAAGGATGAAGCTTGGGAAGAAGCCACTGCTGAGACCCAGTATTGTACCATGCAATCGGAAGCAGCCGCGGATCGAGGCCCATGGAGTGGTAGAAACCCCCAACATCGATCTGCACTTCGGGAGAAAATCAAGTCTGGCGCTGGTCTAGAGAGAACCCCGCGAACAGGATTATTCCTCATGTGCTTCCGTCCAGCAAAGCTGCTTTACGTGGACAGACAGGGTCTACAGTGCAACGGGAAACTGAAAACCCTGGGGAATTTCAGAAGGGCTACGGCCCCGTGTTCCTGCACAGGACTGTGAACATGCAAAGTCAGGATAACTTTGTACATTGGGAGAATCATGGCATCTGTGGCAGAAGAATTTTCCTCTTTTCGGGGGCCAGCCTATGGGTATCCTAAAGGCACTGACGGAAAACGTGGCTCCCAGATTTTCCTGTTGCATCCTTTTATTTATTTTTTTTTATGTTCAACACATTTTTTTTTTTTGAGAGGCAGAGTGGACAGTGAGAGAGAGAGAGAGAGAGAGAGACAGAGAGAAAGGTCTTCCTTTGCCGTTGGTTCACCCTCCAATGGCCGGCGCGCTGCGGCCGGCGCACCGCGCTGATCCGATGGCAGGAGCCAGGTACTTATCCTGGTCTGCCATGGGGTGCAGGGCCCAAGCACCTGGGCCATCCTCCACTGCACTCCCGGGCCACAGCAGAGAGCTGGCCTGGAAGAGGGGCAATCGGGACAGAATCCGGCACCCCGAACGGGACTAGAACCCGGTGTGCCGGCGCCGCAAGGCGGAGGATTAGCCTAGTGAGCCGCGGCGCCGGCTCCTGTTGTCATCCTTTTAATGGCGAATGCTCATCCGGCTGTAATTCTGGGCCTGGTTTCAGCCTCTCTGGAAAACCCAAGGTACCAATCGGGTAGGACTGTCTTCTGAGAAAATGCAGCAGCACTGAACTCCTGTTCTCACGGTGACCTCCACCTTCAGAATCCGATGGTTTTATTATGATTAATAAATTTCATTTCCACCGAGGAAAAGGGACCATGTCAGCTCAAACTGAAAGCAACGAAGCTTCTTTTCAAATGCTAATTTCCAAACACGCCCTTGTGTGACACTACACTTTGGACACAAGGTTATTAGGGAAGATGTGGACTTGAGCACAAGCATGCCAGGCACGTCTGCAACCCGCCGTCCTCGGAGTGGGCTCGGCACAGCTCAAAGGAAGAGCGGCGATTCCCAGGGATGCCATCTTAGGAGCACCGTGTTCAGACCTGACCTGGGGGAGGGGTCTCCCTGCCCACCCCAGCCCCGGCCAAGGTGCTCACCCGCTTCCCTCATCCATTCCATCAGCGACTTCCAAAGACATCTGCACTACGTCCACTGTACGCCGTGCGTCTTCATACCACCCTGCTGCCAACCACTAGTACTGCATCAGAACCAACTCCAGAGCAGTCTGAAACGTTGCCATCCTGACGCAACACTCGTCCCTTAAAGCAACCGCCCTTGACATTTAATAGATCCAAGAGGTGTGATGATAACCTCTTTGTCCATCCGCCCATCAAGCCATCATCAAGTCAAATACAAATACCTGGGAATTCATCACCCCCCTGCTGAAACCCTTCTGTGAGTTCCCACGGATCTGGAATAACAGCCAAACAGGGATGCTGTCCCTGCCCCTCTTGGAGTCTTGACCTTCTTCCCTTCTGTTCCTGGCTTCCTGTGCTCCTGGTACACTGGCCTCCTTAACAGTCCTCACACGGAATCCAGTCCATGCTCATCTTACGGCCTTGGCACCTGCTCCTCCTTGACCCATACGGCTCCTCTTCCTTTCTGTCTCCTATCCAATGTCACTTGCCCAGAGGGATGCGTCCGTCTCTGACCTGGCACCCTCAGCCCCAACTCACGACTACGAGTCTAACAACGGTAGCTACTTTGCACTTGATGAATGACCTATACCCCCTCTGCTCTACTTGGTCCTCATCTTCATCCCTAGTGTCTAAGCAGGACACCTGCCAATAGCACAGGTGCAGCAGGGTTGGACCAATAGCACTGTGTGAATTAACGGGCAAGAGAGAGGAGATTGGGGGGAGGGGGATCGAGGAACCGAAACCCACAGTAATGAGCCTCTCAAACATGGTCTCATATATGCTTTCTGAACATTCTAGGCTCTTTTGGCAAGTTCATCACAGCTTGCAACCAGCAGAAGAACCCATCTTTCGTAACTTTAGCAACCAGTCAAAACTGGGAGCAGGCTGAGGCCCTGGGCACAGCCATGGATGTGGACGAGAGGATTCCAGTTCTGCTGCTGCAGTGGTGTTGGTCTTCCTGGGCCACTTCTTCCTCATTTGTAAAATGGTACTGTTCTGTCTGAGCTCTGCCCAGTTCACGGATAAAGCGCATGAGAAGAAGCTGGACACATCTTCAGATATAGGAAATTATGATACAGGCTTCTGATGGAATTTCACAAAGCAGTCTCGCTCCTGCCCAGACTGGTGAGGCAACTGAAGAATCCTTTCCTAATATCATCACATGTACCTCCAGCAATCCAATTACAGATGCTTTTGGAGTCGAGATGCAGCTAATTTATGAGTTACAGATGTAGCTTAAATTGCTATACTTGAACTTAAGGTTATGTTGGAATAAAATGAATAATTATGTTGCCTGTTGAATGGGAAATATGAACCAGTGTTTTGTAGAGTGCTTTGTCAATTCTACTGAGAAATGTAAATATTACTTATTATTAACATCTTTTAAATCCAGTTGAAACAAGCTGCATGCTAACGAAACACAATACGCGTATGCTGAACCCACATCAGTGTTTGAACAGCAAATGCGATTTTCTTACAGGGGCACAGTAAGTACTCCTATTAATTTCCCTCTCTGTATTTCAATTAAGCTCTTTAATGTCCCCGGGACTTCGTGTTATTCTTAAGGCATCACCTCCGTCTGCCTCCTGCCCCAGAGGTGGCCTGGGGAATCCCTTGGGTAGAAATGAAGAGAATTTGTTCGCTCCTCAGGTGAGGTTTGCAAGACCTCACAGCCATTGTGGACAGCATGTTAAACTGCCGCCTGCAATGCCAGACATCCCCTGTGGGCGCTGGATCAAGCTCCAGCTGCCCCACTTCCGATGCAGCTCCTCGCTAATGCTCCGGGGAAAGCAGATGATGAGGGCCCAA